GTAGTGGCCACTGGCAGTGTTTTTTTACCCCTTCATAAGGGGGTTTATTAATACTGACACTGTTGCTACTAATGCAGCACAAAGGGGTTAAATAACTGTCACTGGTCAATAATGCATCAGTGACCAGTGGCAGAACATTAACCTCTTCTTACCTCTTCTTACTGCACTTTACTGACTAACAACAATGTTAATGAATGACCCCCCCCCCCCCCCTCCCCAGGTGTTAACCAGTCCAGTTCACAGGTAAGAGGGACAGGGGGCTGAGAGGGGGGGGGGGGTGAGAGATAGAGATGGGGGGTGAGAGAGAGGGCTGGAGTGAAAGAGAGGTGAGAGGCCACTGTTTGCTGCCCTACTCCCGCCGCTACCTAAACTCTCCATAAATTCTGCACCCCCCTAAGTGTTGCACCCGGGGCAACTGCACCAGTGCCTGAAGGGCTTGGAACTTGCAGTATATGGACTTATGCCTCCAGTCATGGATTTACTACCCGTTATAGATTATTGCTACCAATTATGGATATAGTGACTTTTAATAGACTTTACTACCTAATTAAGGTATGACTACCTCTTGGGGCACTACAACAGGGGCACTTGAAGAAATTTGTTACTTTGTGGGGATGTCTTGGAGAACTGTTCCTTTTGTTATCCTCAACTACTTGTTATGCTGAACTACTTGTTGTTCAGTTTAACTGCTTGGACTGAAGTCATTAAAGGGGTATATGCATGGTGTAACAAAAAACAGGGCTTATCCAAGGGGAGAAGGGAAGTTAGAGAAGATACAGTACAGAGGTCTAATGGGCAGAGCAGTTGTCCTAAGAAGGCTATATTGCCGTTGATAATGACTACTGTGTCTAGTGCCTAAGCCACCAACCAGCCAGGAAGCTGGTGACATGACCAGGGAGATGGAGACTCTGGTAGTGAAGGGGTTTTATGTTTTGCCCTTTTACTGGTGACTGGTTCCCCTCATACTAAGACCATTCTCATTACACAGAGTACCTAGGGAGACATGAGTGGACTATCAAGGCCTCGGGAGAGGAAACAAGCATGGGTTTCAGAGAAGTGTGCTTTCTGAATTCAATAGCAACATATGGATCATGGTCACTGGGATTGAGGTGATGGGACTGCTGGGTTAGTGGTTGGTACAAGCTCTTTGGTATTGGCTCAGAAATTCTGCAGACCTGGAAAGGGGTAAAGAAATGATTCTGTAGTGCATTTGTGTTAAGAGTGCAGGAGTTTGGCCTTAGACTACAAAGTTCTGTCTTGGAGTAGTCTCACTTTTAAATTTGCCCATCTCAGCTACCTTCTCTCCATTCCAGAGCTGTAGCCCCTGTCAGGCTCTTTGGCATTCAGCACTTACAGAAGTGTCTGATACGTGTTTACCCTGATTCATGCTGTGACACCATCATCTAATCTAGTAGTCTCCAAACTGCAACATCACAGGCTGGATGTGGCCCCTTACTAGCTTTTATCCAGCATTCACCACTGACACTAATCTTGGGGCATCATTTCCACACTGCAAGAGTACAATCCAAATGCACACATTCCTGCGTTTAAAAATGGCTGTGTGTATAAGTGGGTGCTGCAGCGACAGTCGGCTGGAACTGAACAGAATCAGCAAGGGAGAATGTCACCAGCACACCGAGGATCACCAGTATGGGTCCAAAAGTTTTAATGAACGATCACATAGTTACAGCAAGGCAAACTTTCAGAGTCTCGCAGGACCCCTTCATCAGGCATGTGACCACATGCTGGTGACTTTCTCCCTTGATAATTTCTACACCTACAGCAAAAAAGAGTCAGAATTCCTCCTACTAACACAACACAATTCCTCCCACTGACACAAAAGAAAAGACACAATTCCTCCCAACAACACCAACAATGCAGCGCAGTTCCTTCCAAAGACACAAATGATGGGGTACTAATTCCTCTAACTAACACCAACAATGGGGCACTGTTCCTTCCGCTGATGCCAATGACTGGGCATTATTCCTTCCATTAACACCAATGATGGGGCATTATTTCTCCCACTAACACTAATGATAGGGAATTGTTTATTCCCACTATGCCAGCACATTTGCTACCTTCACTGGCCACCGTCCAACCCCAAAGTCTAAAGGACTTTGGTTTGAAAGTCTGGAGGCCCCTGGTCTAATCCCTTCAAGCTCTAAAATACAGGTACGCCATAGGCCTCTGCAGGAAATTAATTTATCAAATATACAATCCTGCATATAGGGGCCACCAAATGATTGCTGACTCCACCCCAATAAAAATAATTAATACTGGGTGTGGTCACCAAAACCTAAGAACAACATAGACAGAAACAGAAGTACTAGGGGTACCCCCGGAGAAAGTCCTTGGTCTAATCCCTTGTTCAGTACTGAATCATGTTTTGACATATGGGGGTTTATTTACTAAAGCTGGAGAGTCCAAAATCAGACTCCCTTCTGCATTGAAACCAATCAGCTTCTAACCTCAGCTTGTTCAATGAAGCTTTGGCAATGAAACCTGGAAGCTGATTGGTTTCTATGCAGAAGTAAGTCTGATTTTGCACTCTCCAGCTTTAGTAAATAAACCCCATGGGGTCAGAGGAAGGAAGACAAAATAAGGAACAAAGGCATCAGACACTATTTGAAGTATCCAATAACAAAAGCACTGCAGCACTGCAGCGGAGATGAAGTAGGATTCATGGGCCACTTGAGAAATGAGTAAAATACCTAATCTCTTACAGGAAAATGACATTTAGAGTTATTTTGCAACATAATCTCTTATTTAGTGAATACCTTTAAAGGGGATCTCAACCCCGCCAAGGGCTTCCCTATTTTCTTCTAATATTTTCAGATGTTTCATTGTTCATCTTTTTGTGTTTCAATTTTTTTCAAATCTAATAATTTTATGCCAAATGATAGATTACAACTTTTTTAGACTTTATTACTACTTAAGAAATAGACAATCAAAATGACTCCAAATGGCAGCTAAATAGGCACTAAGACTAAATTGTGTTTTACCCATGTAGTGCCAAGTAACAGTTTCCTCTTGATACCAGTCTTTGCTCTGTTTATAATTACATTACATATATTTATTCACCTGTTGTGCCCCCCTGGGGTGCAGAGAATAACCACAATGTAAGGTCACAGATGTCCTGTTCAGAGAGGACTTCCTTTCAGGTGATGTAAGGCTTATGTTGGAAGCTAGGACTGTGTGTACTTGTCAAACAATTGTTGGCTTTCTGATAGAAGGGGGAGAAAAGTCCTCTTTTTTGGTGGGACTTTAACGGCATGATTTACTTGTATGATATTAGACATGAGCAAAGAAATGCCATCAAGCATGCTTCTTTGGATAGACCTGGTGTGGTCCGTTTGATTGGACCAATTTTTGACTGCAACTGAATGGAGCTTTTTCAAGCCATCCTAGCTGTATCTAATCCAGCTAATGAGCTCATTTCTTTGCTCACAGCCATCAAGCATGCTTCTTTGGATAGACCTGGTCATCAACACTTTCTAACGCAAATTCCTTATGGTCATCGCTTCACACTCATAGTATCACTGCCCTATCAGTACCAACCAGCAGGTAATCTTGTTGACGGTGCATTTGGGCAGGGCCCCTTCAGAAGGCATTTGGGCGGCACTCTTTATCCACTGGTCTCAGTTTTTTCTTTATTCATTTTTGTTTCATCATTTTTGCCTGAAATATATGAGAAATCCATGGCTGTGTTCACATAACAATTTGTTCTTAATATTTTCTGGTGGTTTTTACTTCTTGAGTACTTCTGATTTTTATTGACCTCGAAATAGGTCAAGTGCGAACCATGCATAATCCATGATTAGATTTACAATACCATCTTTGATGACACCGCCGCAATATGTATTGTAACTTTATATTTATTTTTGAAGATTGTAAAAATAAAATTTCATACTGTTTTTATATAAAAAAAAATCTCTTTTGAATTGTTGAAATTTATCATACAAGTAAATCATGCAGTTAAAGTTCCACCAAAAAAGAGGACTTTTCCCCCCTTGTATTCGTTAGGGATGTTGGCACTTTGTGTATTATACCCCTTCCTCTAGCTTTCTGATAGAAGTGATTTGGGTGGCTGTAAGGCTACCCACTCACTTCCACCAACACCAAAAAGTAACACTTGGTGAACCACCATGAGGTGTGTCAATGGGTAGAATGGAAAAAACCATATCCATTTGCCGATCTTCGCTCTGGTGAATGAAACCAGAAGAACCATTTTCTGGTTCCGAACTGCCATTCACCAGCTACTGTGGCCAGGGAGGAAGCTGATCAAGGTCAAGCATGGTCTGTACGTGATCAGCTTAATTGAGGTACATAGATTACATTAGTGGTCAGGCTCCTGATGTCTCCTTAACCACTTCCAGACCGGACACTTTTACCCCCTTCCTGTCCAGGGCAATGTTCAGCTTTTAGCGCTATCACACTTTGAATGACAATTGCGCGGTCATGCAACACTGTACCCAAATAAATTTTTTACCATTTTTTTGAGACAGATAAAGCTTTATTTTGGTGGTATTTATTCACCACTGGGATTTTTTTTTTTTTGCTATGTAAATGAAATGTCCAAAAATTTTGAAAAATTTTTTTTTTTTAATAAAATTTTGCAAATAAATAATATTTCATTTATTTGTTATCTTTTTAGTAAAAAAAAAAAAAAAATCCAAATTAGTTTATAACCAACAATTATAATTTTTAAACATTTTTTTTTTTACATTTTTATTTTATTTTTTTATATTATTATTTTTTTTTTTTTTTTTTTTTTTTTACATACTGTCACCCTAGCAGTACAGTGTCACCATGGTGACACTGTACTACTTGTGGAGGGTGATGAAGATTTTTTTTTTTTACACTGATTGGTTTTACACCCATATAGGATGTAAAAGCAATCATTTCTCTTTCTCTCTGTCTGCATTCTTGCACTCATTGAGAAGTACTGAGTGAGCTGTGATTGGTCACAGCTTGTCACATGGTACAAGGCTTTTGTGAATAGCCTTGTACCATGTGACCTCTGTGATCATTCACAGATTTCACACGTAGTAAGCAATGATGTTAGAAGTGACATCTTGCTTACTACTTTGCATGTGATCACTGATTGGCCAATCAGTGATCACATGATTGGGACCTCGTACAGAGGTCCCGTCCGACGATCGGTGTTTTCACTGTGTCTGGAAGACACAGCGGGCACCGGATCGCGGTGCTGAACGCTCCCAGGGAGCACACACAAGCAGGGTGCGGGGAGGCCATTTATAAACGGCAACCCGACCCTGCAGTGCCACCGTCCGGCCGTTTATATGCAACGGCCGGTCGGGAAGTGGTTAAGGATGACCTGTCATTAGCAAAATGCTATTATATAAGGGGCTATTGCCCCCGTAAGTGATTAAAGTTAAGTAAAAAGAACTCCTGAAGTTTGTTTACCTGATATACTCGACAATTTTGTCCCACTTACCTGTAGTTGTATTATGTTCCTCGTCATATTTTTTTATAATAAAAAGCACTTCTGCTCTGTTGGAAAAATCCTGTTCCTTTTTGCTTTACAATAAGTCTGTCACCCGATGAACTACTACAAAATTATTTACATGGGTCATGCTTGTCCTAAGAAATTTACTAAAATATGGCAGCCCTAGCTGGATATTTCGACCTCTCAAATGGCGGATCTGACAACCTCATAATCCTCTTTTTACCAGTCTGGAGGATATACGTGTATTACTGCAGAGAGAGAGCAATGTGTTAATGTGCTGTGTGTGTGTGTTTTGCTTGTGTGTCTGGGTATTGTGAATGTGTTTTTCTGTTAAGTGGTTAAGTTATGTTATCTTTTTGTTGGTTGGCATCCTCTGCCTGTATATACTGTTTCATTCCTGTTATATACGGGGATGAATGTCTCCAGCATGTATGGCATACTTTACTTCTTTTGTTACTGTTGATATTGGAATCTGCATAGCTGACTGTATTGCCATAACATGATGTGTCCTGATGGCTTCTGTTTTGTAAGTTCGAGCTAAAATTGTTAAATAAACACTTAAAAAAAAAGTTAAAGTAAAAAAAAAAGTGGAAATATTAAATGTACAAATAAAAAAATAAAAATAAAATGCCAAAAAACCTTAAAGTCCCTGTCCCTAAATACACACACATACATAAATGCATGTGCCTGGGTGCAGCTATGTATAAAAAGGACAATTGTGCTACACGTTATGTATTGCTACATATGCCAAAATGAGAGCAGTCATTCTGAGGCCATCATTCACAGTTAACTCTTAAATGATGACCTTTAAAGGCTTTTAAAATGTCACCTATGGACAATTTTGGGTACAGAAATTTGTCACCATTTCACAGCTGTTCGTAATTTTAAGGCTTGACACGTTGGTTATTTACTCAGTTCAACCTCATATTTTATATTTTACCAAAAAATTTTTGTTATGTATTATGCCATAAAAATAACTTTAGTGTATTTCTTACTAAAAATATGTGTTTAATGAACAGTTGAGTGTTCATGTGGCATATAAAATTGTAATTACCGCCATTCTCACCTCGAGGTCCTCTGCTTTCGGAAAATATATGTATTATATATTGGCAAAAAAATGCCAAAACAGCAGCGAGCTTCTTTTCTAAAACAAAAAGCGATACTGTTGATTTATATGGTAACAGGTCGTGAATTTATTCATGCAGACTTATAATGTTACTTTAACCACTTGCCGTCCTGCCACTGTAGAAATACGGTGGCAGGGCGACACGGGCAGGCAAAACCACGTTTTAAAACGTGTGTTTTGTAAACAGGTAGGGGGCGCGCGTGAGGCGTGCCACCGCCCTGCTTGTTCTGCCGATTACAGCCACGGGTGTCAGTCGCCGGGTCACAGCCGGTCATTACCGGCTATGACCCGGCGATCGGCGGCAATCGCTGACAGAGAGCACAGCTGCAGTGGCTGTGCTATCTGTCACTTCCCCTGACAGCTCGAGAACACGCTGACCTCCCGGAAGAGTTTCCCTCTCCCGATCAGCGGTGTTCACTGCAGTACACACCCCCCCGCCCCCTAGTAAAACACTCCCCTCACACAGATAACCCTTCCCTGCAAAATAAAGTTAACCCCTTCCTCCCCAGTGCCATTAGTACAGTGTCAGTGTTTTTTTTTTGCACTGATCACTGTATTGGTGTCACTGGGGATGTCAGTGACCCCAAGTCAGTACCCCCCAATGTCAGAATGTCCGTCGCAGTCCCGCCATAAGTTGCTGATCGCCGCCATAAGTCACTGATCGCCGCCATAAGTCCCTAATCACCGCCATAAGTCACTGATCGCCGCCATTATTAGTATAAAAAAAAAACCCCTAAAAATCCCAGTATCTTTCCCGCCATTTGTAAACGCTATAACTTTCACGTAAACCAATTAATTTACACGTATTGGGTTTTTTGTAGCAAAGACATGTCGCAGAATGCATTTTGGCAGAAATTTATGACTAAATTTGATTTTTAAATTTTTTTTTACTGGACATGTTTTATAGCAAAAAGTCCAAAATATTGTTTTTTTTCCTCAAAATTGTCAGCCTTTTTTTTATAGCGCAAAAAATAAAAACCGCACAGGCGATCAAATACCACCGAAAGAAAGCTCAATATGTGGGGAAAAAAAGGTTGTAAATTTCATTTATGTACCATATTGCATGACTGCGCAATTGTCCGTTAAACTAGCACAGCGCTGTATAGCAGAAAAATGGAGTAAATTGCAGTATCTATACCATAGTTTGTAGACGCTATAACTTCCACACAAAGCAATCAATATACACTTATTGGGATTTTTTTACCAAAAACATGTAGCAGAATACATTTTGGACAATAAATGTATAACCAACTTTGAGTTTACTATATATTTTTTATAGCTGAAAGTAAAAAATATTGTTTTTCTTCAAAATTTTTGGCCTTTTTTTGTTTATAGCGTGAAAAATAAAAAGCGCACAGATGATCAAATACCACAGAAAAAAAGCTCTATTTGTGTGAAAAAAAGGACGTAAATTTCGTTTGGGTGCAGCATTGCATGACTGCGCAATTATTAGTTGAATTAGTGCAGCGCCGAGTAGCAAAAAGAGGCCTGGTCATTAAGGGGGGTAAATCCTCAGGAGGTCAAGTGGTTAAGTTAACATGTTGATTTACCCTGCATAAAAAAGTTGTATCACTTCACAGCTTCTTAGAAAAAAAAAGCATCATGGAAAGAGCGCAAAATAGAAAAGCATAAAAATGTGTATTTAAAAGTGCTGCTTTGAAAGACAATAAATTTAGGTAATTTGAACCTGGAAAACCTCTTTAAATAACATCTGCTTGCCAAAGCATTTTATAAAACTCACAAACTTTACGTGGTTATGGCAACCAATTAATTTCCAGCAAAACTTTATAAGCAAGCACATTTTAGATAAAGATATAGTTGAAGACTTTTGTTGTGTTGCAATTTTTGCTCCTTATTATCAATAAGCCTGTGACTACATGAATAATGAATTTGGAGTTTTAGCACCATCTTGATTACGAAATGTCTCTCAGTGCACAAAATAGATGCAGTGGGAAAAGCTTAAATTAAGCTTCCCTTCAGTTTTTATTTCTAAGATCCATTTAGTTTTCAGTGGAAAAATGAATATATCGCTGAATATTTAAGATTTCTTTAGTCCTAGAAATAAAGCATTCATCTAGGGTGTTAGTTCAAAGTAGAGTAAATTCTGATATTTAATCTACATGTATCGCTCTTATATAGACTGCGCACATTTTAAAGGCAGAAGATTATAGAATAGATTGGAAAGTTTGGCTTGGCTAAGGAAGTAGGAGTTCCATTTTAAATGATTTTCCTATTGGGAGATAAAAGTCTGATACTTTTATTATTATTATATTAATATTTTACATGTTTGTTCCTTTATGTGTCTATGTATTTATTAATATGTCCGTAGTGCGTATGTGTCAAGAGTGCAGGAGTTTGGCCATGGATTACAAAGAGTCAACAGTTCTGTCTCAGAGTAGTCTCACTTTTAAATCTAGAGAGCTGCCTTAACACTGATTTCATGTGAGTGCAGCCACTGACTGCCACTGGGGGCACTCACGAGGGCTCGCTCCTGTTCCCCAACTGGGTGCATTAGCCCTGTTCATATATCGATCTTTCCAATTGCCCATATCACCTACCTTCCCTCCATTCCAGAGCTGCAACCTCTTTCAGGCTCTCTGGCATTCAACAGTTATAGGCGTGTCTGATACCTGTTTACCCAGATTCATGCTGTGGCTTCATCCTCTAATTCAGTGGTCTCCAAAATGCAACATCAGAGGCTGGATGTGGCCCCTTACTTGCTTTTATCCAGCACTTATCACTGACACCAACATTGGGGCATGATTTCCATATTGACACCAACAATGGGACACAATTCCTCCCACTGACACCAACATAATTCCTTCAACTGAAACCAATAAAAAGGCACAATTCCCACCAATGATGGGGCACTATCCCTCCCACTAACACTAATGATAGGGAATTGTTTATTCCCACTATGCCAGCACATTTTCTATCTTCACTGGCCACAGTCCAACCCCCCTAAAGTCTAAAGTACGGTAAACTATGCCTTTGGTTTGAAGGTCTGGAGGCCCCTGGTCTAATCTTTTCAAGGTCTAAAATACAAGTACACCACAGGCATCTATGGCATCTGCAGGAAATTAATTTATCAAATATACAATCCTGCATATAGGGGCCACCAAATGATTGCTGACTCCACCCCAAGAAAAATAATTAATACTGAGTGTGGTCACCGAAACTTAAGAACAACATAGATCGGGACATGGGTACTAGGAGTACCCCCAGAGAAATTACACCAACGATAGGGCACAATTCCTCCCCATGACACCAACGATGGGGCACAATTCCTCCCCATGACACCAACGATGGGGCACTATTCCTCCAACTGACACCAACGATAGTGCACTATTCCTCCAACTGACACCAACGATAGTGCACTATTCCTCCAACTGACACCAACGATAGTGCACTATTCCTCCAACTGATACCAACGATAGGGCACTATTCCTCCTATTGATACCAATGATCTGCACTATTATTCCATTAACACCAACGATGAGGCACTATTCCTCCCACCGATGGGGAATTATTTATTCCACCTGATACTAGGATATTTTTTTACTCCCACTGGCTATTTTAATTGTTTGTTCCTATATGTATTTCTGTATTTAATACTTTTCATTTATCTAATATTCTAGTTAATAAATAAACAAAATGCTTGCATCTTGGCGTTAGGTCCCCTTAT